CAGGAGGCGGAACTGGCCGTGGATGCAGCAAATACTGCGGCAAGTGTCTTCTGCTCGGAGATTTGAACATGCTCAGGGACTGGGAAAATCAGCGTTCATGTTACGTAGACTATTTGTTGCAGGAGCAGGAGTTAATGCCAACGTATGAAGCTACACCAAACTGCAGCATGTTGGTTGACCGGCAGTTTGGTCAATGTTAAACAAGTTGCCAGGTCTAAACAGGTTGTGTATGAGGCATTGGCGCTGCTGCTCATGCCTTTGCCTTCCTTGACAGGGTCCATCGACACTTGCACGCCAATGTCAATACACCCAATCAGCTAGATCCAGAAATCACAAAGTGCTCATATTTGTGTGCTCCGTAGCCATTTTGGCTCAATTCGTTTTGGGCTCAGTGGGCAGTTGCCGGCATTCTTGGCTTTCCAACATGGGTCATCAGCACAATGCGAGGGTGATGTATGCTTTCTCCTTCATTTTGCAGCTGGTGCACTCATTGGCGCAGAGCCAATACCTGGACGAGTACATCTTCAAAGTGGCAGAACGCATCTCATCGCAGCCCAACTTTGCGGTGGGCGCTCTAGAGAGCATTGCCGGAATTGCCAAATTGCTGGTGGCGCTTCCAATTGGTTGCCTCGTGGATTCGAGACCGGATCGCCGAACTCGGCTTGCTTGGGTGGCTGTAGCCCTGGGGTGTCCCGTGGTTGGTTTGGCCGTTGTGGCCATTTTGGCGGAGCGGCTGTGGATGCTGGCGGTAATGCAGGTGGCCTTTGTGATTTTTGTCGAGTTCGCCAGCTGCTTGGCCATGGCCATCTTTGCCAACAGCCTCTCAGCGGCCTCGAGCAACCTGCGGACCGCCGCCTTTGCCAACGTGCAGATTTTCCAGAACTTGGGCACTGCCGTGGGCTCTGGCGCGTTCTCCTTGTTTCTGCTCTTTCAGGGCCCTGAAACGCAGACGGACATGTGGACAGGCTTCCAGGCCAAGTCGGCTCTACTGACGGGTTTCGGGCTACTTTTCCCTGTGATGCTGTCTCTGTTGGCTTTCCGCCGTGCCCCGCAGTCAAAAGATTCGGGACACACAGAGATGAAAGGGGAAAGAGTGATGCAAAGAGCTTGGGTGCCCTATCTGGTGTTGCTGGCATTGTTATTTGTCGCGCTGGCCACGGGGATGATCTTCAAGTTCTTTCCACTCTTCTTCATCAACATCCACAACATGTCTGGCGTGCAGATCGGCATAATTCAAACCCTCGATCCCTTGTTAAAGGCTTGCTTCACCTACGCGGTTGGTGCTTGTGCTCAACATGTGGGTCGTGCTCAAACCGCCAGCTTCTGCATCGCTGGGATCATTGGATGTCTGCTCGGGATGTCCTACCTGTGCAGCGGATCCGGGACGCATGTGTGGTCGTTGGTGGCTCTCTTCATGTTTCGAGGAAGTCTCGGCCATGCAAGCTTCCCTTTGATCTGGTCCATTTTGATGGAACACGCACCGGCATCCCAATTGGGCAGATGGAGCAGCGCCAGTGCTGTTTTGAACGTCTCCTGGAGTGGCTCGGCTGCGATTTCGGGAGCACTTCTGGACCAGCATGGCTACGCATTCACCTTCCAAGTGGCCGCAGTGCTCTTTGGCGTGGCTTTGGGTGTGTTCTCACCACTCCTCTTTGTCCAGAAGTCTATGGAATCCCAGAGCCCTGCAGTCGAAGACGAAGAAGAAGGCGAAGGCTTCTCCGCTCGACAGGTGGTGGTGGTGGTGGATCCCTTCTCCACAGGCGGAAATTTGGCTGCGGAGCTGCTGAGCCAAGGCTATGCCGTGGTCGCACTGTGGACCAAGGAGTCAAATGTGCGATATCACGATTATCCAGAGTGTTTGGACCCGAAAAAGCTGCTTTCCGAGCTGGACGAACAGCCAACAGTGGAAGGCACAGCACAGCGCCTGTGCGAGACATTGGTCGGAAGAGATTGCCTGGCGGCGGTGATTTGTGGAGGTGACAGCGGTGTCAATGTCACAGACGCACTCAGCGAAGCGCTGAACCTGCGGGGCAATGGCACCTTGAGCAGTGGCCATCGCCGGGACAAGTGGGTTCAACAGGAGGCGTTGAAAGCAGCTGGTGTGAGGTTTGCCCGCACGGTGTGCGGAACTACCTGGAAACAGGTCTCCATGTTTGCGGAGACGGAACAGTACCCTTTGGTTGTGAAACCCATCGAATCAGCTGGCGCAGATGGATTCAAGTTGTGTCATTCTCTGGAGGAGGCACGGGCCCACTTTGAGTTCCTGAACACTTCCCAGCGTTGGTGTGGTGGTCAAGGCGGCGGGGTTGTCTTGCAAGAATTTCTTCAGGGACCTGAGTACGTCGTCGATCAAGTATCTTGTGATGCGGTGCACAAGACCACCATGGTGTGGATGTACGACTTTCAGGAAGTCAATGGAAGTCGTGTTTGCGTGGCGCAGCGGCCAGTTTCAAGCGAAACAATGGTGGCAAGGGAGCTGATTGCCTATGCGTGCAGTTGCTTAGATGCTTTGAGCATCCGCAACGGTGCAAGCCACACAGAGCTCATCTGGACCTCCCTTGGGCCTCGCCTGGTAGAGGTGAACTGTCGTTGTCAAGGTGGCACTGGCTTTTGGCTGCCACTCTGCCGCAAGATGACGGGCTACTCCCAAATGGATGCGGTGATTGATGCCTACCTCAACCAGGAGGCCTTCCACGCACTGCCCAATGCGCCGACATTTTTGATGTCTGGAGACATCATCCACTTAATCTCCTATGAAGAACATCTCATTACGGCCATGCCTGGGCTTGAGGCTGTCCGCAGCCTCTCGTCCTTTACCGATCTCGTGATGAATGTGAAGATAGGAGACATGACGCCTAAAACAACAGATTGGTATACATTCACTGGCGTCGTAGCTTTGTGCCATGCAGACCCAGCAGCACTTGCTGCTGACATCTCGTGTATTCGAAGCATGGAGCTGTCTAGAAGCTTCTTCGGCGAAGACTTGTGCAGATCTACATATTATAGAATGCTTCGCGATTCATGAGTTTTGTTTTGCTGATGGGCATCGACTTGCAAACTTGTATTTTTTACCGTCGTGCTCGTCGTCATTCCCATCAGCTTGTCTGGGTGTGCTCTCACGCCATAGTGGACTCACCCATAGGCTGGCCTGCACGGACACCTCTTGTACAGTCTGGCTACCCGTTTCTTGCATCTGCCATGTGCTTGTCGCCGAAGAGTGGCCTGGCCCAGTCGGCTTGCACGGACACCTCTTGTACAGTCTGGCTACCCGTTTCTTGCATCTGCCATGTGCTTGTCGCCGAAGAGTGGCCTGGCCCAGTCGGCTTGTGTGTATACAGTTTTGGAGCCGCCCGCAGGAGCGGATCGAAGGACCAGTTCCCAAGCCTTTGCTTGAGAAAGTGTCGCTTGAGCCACGCCGTACTGGTGTGAAGACAACACCACCGCGGCAAGACTGACACTCTCTCTCTCTCTCTCTCTCTCATTTGTGTGCAGCTGAGGAGGCCTACAGGGATGAGAAGAAGAAGGCCG